TTTTTTTTTTCTCTTGCCTTCAGGTTGAGGCGATTCAGCCATGGACGACTCGTCTTCGCTGATATGGTGATTTTCCGAAAAGGATTCACTCATTATTTCTTTTCTATTCTGTAAATATATATATATTTATAGATATGAAGTATGCATAATGATAATTCAAAGTTGGATCACTGGTAGTATATATTTCGCGAAAGATATTTTTGGCCTACTGGTACACATTTGTACGTGCAGTTTTTTGCAAGGCCTAAATACCCTCCGCGAGGGGTATCCCCGCGCGAGCTGTTGCTCCCGCGAGGTTCAGATGGGTTCTGAGGATGGGGGATCCTGGTTGCTATGTATGGGTCAGTATTCGCAGTGAAGAGAATTTAGTTAGAGTGTAGTAACTAGTGAGTAACATGATGACTCGAGCAAACAGGGGCAAACATCAATTGCAGCAATAAGAGGAAAATGAAGTACACTTTATAAATAAAACGCGAATGCATCTGCTTTGTATCTTTGCTTTTGGTGAATAAAAATCGCTATTTCCTGTTATTATGATCAATTGAATGAGGTAAGTTCTTTTTTTTTCAAGTAGTGGTTCCACAAACTGGAATGTACCACCAGGTAGCAACTGCAAATTTGCCGCCTGAACAATTCCCGAAAGAACCTCTGTGATTGTCAACAAAGGTCATAATAAATCTCAACGGCCTTCAGGCAAACTTTCAGTCCTCTCAATGACTCCACCCACCATTAATTGATTAAACATCTTCCAGGCCAACTTCGAGCAAATAAATACCCTGATTAAATTGATTTTTGCTCAGAAAGTGCGACAAATTTACCAATAATTAAAAGAGCAAGAAAACAACATTTTCCTTCAAGCTACGTAAGTGACAAAATTTTTTTTTTGGCCTCTCAGAACTTCAGAAGTGACTCAGACGCGAGAACCGCGAAAATTACCTCACTCTGTTTTTCCCCCAGGGTATCATAAAGTGGGTGTGTAACATGAACAAAACACCCATTTTCTTGGGTTATTGCCCAGCTGTTTACTTGCCAAGTAGAAAAATTTACGACCGCTTGCAATGAGCAATAGCAGGACAATTTTTCTCCCTCTTTCCAAGAAGAATAATTCAAAGTCGAAAGCTGAAGCACTGGCTTCGTGTATTCACTTTTTTCTCTAAAAAAGAAAACTGTAATACACAAGAAAAGCACGCGGGGATTCCAGAGACCTGATAACCTGTATTTTGCAACCCCTTTCTTCATATAACATGTGAATTCGAGTACTCATTACTGTACTTCGCAATTTTTCTCGGTGATGGTCATTGCCAAGAATTCTTGGAACATTCTGAAGTTGTAGTCCGAAGGGGCTGAAAAGTTTCTATTCTAGATGCAAGAAAATTTGTTCATGAAACCCAGCATCAATATACCATATTAAAATTAAAGCATCACTTACCCAAGCAGGTTTTTTTTTTTTACAAGAATATTATCTCGCTATTTCAAACCTTTTACACCGTAGAATGACCAGAAAAGTTCAACTTGTTTTTGTATGGAAAAAGTTTTTCACAAATTTTTTTTGAAAAAAAATTCTGGGATATGCGTGGAAAATCACTCATTACTGACCATCACTCCCTCTCCCCTTACCCCGCTGGCTGTCCAGTTGACCCACCTCGGGACGGATTGTTCTGGGTCCCAATTCTACCCAGTCCGCGGGACCAATTCTGCATGGTCCAATTTTGTTAGGGACAAATCCTTCAGGAGAGTGTGCTGATGAGTTGTGTATACAGTATGTGAATATTTTACAGCACGGTTTTATATGGGCTGCCATCTAAAAGGATGGTCTGAAACAGAAGACATTTTTATTCAAGGAAATCTTGTGAAATAACGATGACATGACGTCACATTAACTCGTGTTATTATTGAAACAAAAGGGATTTAAAAATTTTTGATTACGTTTTTTATTCGAAAGTAAACAGTTTTTTTTTTATTGTCATCGCCGGTAATTCCGTCAATGTTTCAAGACAAAAAGCGAATCTTTTCACGGGAAAAATACCAAAATTTACATGAATGAGAGAAGATTATTCAAGAAAAACAAGCGGTGGTTTCACAAATTGAAGTGCACAACCACCGGCAGCCGCCGATTTGACGCCTCAACAGTTGCACCCCGCAGGGATTGTCAACAAGAGCGTAACAAATCTTGAAGACCTTCGAGCAGATTTCAAGCCTTCACCATGATTCCACCCATTATTTGCTTTGCAATCTTCTTGACCTTCGAGGCACACAGTGAGAAGAACAAAAAAATGAACGGATTTTTTCTCAGAATTTATGCCAAACATTGACCTGTTGTTGAAAAAGCAAGAAAACATCACGCCAAGTGAAAGACGATGTGTTTTGCTTTCCCCATCAATAGAAAGGGCCACAGAAATTACCACAATGCGTTTTCCTCACATGTACCAAGACATCATAACATGGAGGTTACGTGAGCAGAACAGCATGACGCTTGGGTTATTGTCCAGTTGTTTATTGCAATTTCCGTGGATATACAGAATATTGGAGAAATTAATGGCTTCTGATAGAATGGAGTATGGCAGGAAAAGTGTATCCCACTTTCCAAAAACAATGAATTACTTTACTTTCGAAAGGATCACTGCCTTCTTATATTCTTATTTTTGAAGGTTTCACACTTAATTCCCTTTACCACTTGGCCGGTGCGCATTTTGCGACACCTGTCTTCAACACTCGCAACTTCAGGTACTCAATTATTTGTCCAGGTGACGGTCATAACAACATTATTCCTTGCTATGTACTGATGCGTCATACTCATCACTCAGTATTCAATAAAATAAGGGTCTCAAAGAAACTGACAAGTTCTCATTCTACATGTGACACGATTTGTTGGGTGAAGCCTGAAATTATTGCAAATTTAAAATGTGATTCTTTCGATTTCTAATAAGCAATCTCAGCCGTCATTCGTGGAATAGCTCATTGAATTTATGCATCTTTTTAATGCGTGAAAATAATCCATTTCCCGTGTGTGAAAAATGTCCGTCGTCTTCAAAAGCTGAATAACTGTCGGAAAGTATAGCAAAGCTTTCAAATTCCCGATTGGTAATTGAGATTTTCAGGTCGATCATCTGACCTCAGACCGATCTAGAAAGTTGAACGAATTACAGTATCAATCATCTGATTTTATAGAGTATGCAATTTTCGTTTTTATAATCTTCAGAGAGTTACAGTTTTATTTCCTTCCTGAAAAGTATCCCACCCCCCCCCACATAAAAGTCCCCCCCCCCCCCCCCCACAAAAAGTTGCTTAGTTTGGAATTTCGAGTTCTACTATTTTTATAATCACCCGGAGAAACGTATACTGCAGATCCTCCTACGGGATCAATGGGAATTTCCGATAATTTTTTCTGCACACCAAAAAGAGATTAGAACAACACCAAAAAGACTCACCGTATATGCGCAAAAAAAAAAAATTTAAACGCGGAAGAAAATGTAATTTCAACATCAATCTTACAGTATCACAACACGTGCGAGCATCAGCTCCTGTTATATATGACTTTCTCTGAAAAACGAATCACATCATGGCATAAATATTTTGCATGCCCTTGCGAATGTAAAAAACTGACCATCATCAACAACAGAAGTGTACCAACTGAGGGCTACCAAAAATAATCCCCTGCTGGTTTATGAATAAAAAAAAGTACATTTAATCCTCAGCATTCATTTCAAGATCATCGTGGGTACCCTTCAGCGTACGCGTGATCTTCATTAAGCATAAATTATCGCGTATAATATAAAACAAGCTCCGAATGAAGTGGACAATTGCAGTGAATATCATCGTATACAAAGAATCACTTCATTTTGGGTATCGAAGCAAATTGTTGACATTAACACCCATCAGGAGATCATCATCATCATCGTCGCCTCCCAAAAGCGTTGCCGCCGAACAAATTGAACAAATTTGCGATCCACTGTACTGCTTCGTTTTGAGGCCTGTAATTCGTATTCTGATGATTATTTGGTCGTGAACTCGAATTTGAACATTGTTTGAAACTGAAGAACATATAAACCGACGATTGAGGTACTGACCTCAGGCCGCAAACGGCCGATTGTGCTCACTCTTTTATTTCACTGGAAGGGTGAAACTTCAATCTTTGTCAGAGAGGCTTATGAGCCCCTGACAAATGGCTTCTGATAGAATGGAGTATGGCAGGAAAAGTGTATCCCACTTTCCAAAAACAATGAATTACTTTACTTTCGAAAGGATCACTGCCTTCTTATATTCTTATTTTTTGAAAGTTTCACACTTGATTCACTTTACCACTTGGCCGGTGCGCATTTTGCGACACCTGTCTTCAAAACTCGCAACTTCAGGTACTCAATTATTTGTCCAGGTGACGGTCATAACAAAATTATTTCTTGCTATGTACTGAATGTTGATGCGTCATACTCATCACTCAGTATTCAATAAAATAAGGGTCTCAAAGAAACTGACAAGTTCTCATTTTACATGTGACACAATTTGTTGAGTGAAGCCTAAAATTATTCCAAATTCAAAATGTGATTCTTTTGATTTCTAATGAACAACCTCAGCCGTCATACGTGGAATAGCTTATTGAATTTATGCATATTTTTAATGCGTGCAAATAATCCATTTCCCGTGTGTGAAAAATGTCCGTCGTCTTCAAAAGCTGAATAACTTTCGGAAAGTATAACAACGTTTTTAAATTCCCAAGTGGTAATTGAAATTCTCAGGTTGATCATCTGACCTCAGACCGATCTAGAAAGTTGAACGAATTATCAATCATCTGATCTTAGAGAGTGTGAATTTTAGTTTTTATAATCTTCAGAGATTAATTTTAGTTTTATTTCCTTCGTGAAAAATTATCCCCCCCCCCCCCTTCGGAAAAGTTTCTTAGTTTGGAATTTTGAGTTCTGGTACAGTATTTTTTTAATTACCTGGAGAAACATGCACTGCAGGAATGAACGGGAATTTCCCATCATCATTTTTTCTGTAGACCAAAAAGAGATTAGAACAATAGCAAAAAGACTCACCGCTTGAGCAAAAAAAATATTTAAACGCCGAAGAAAATGTAATTTTAACATCAATCTTACAGTATCACATCACGTGCGAGCATCAGCTCCTGTAATATGACGTTCTCTGAAAAAATAATCACATCATGGTATAAATATTTTTGCATAACCTTGCGAATGTATGAAACTAACCATCATCAACAACACAAGTGTACCGACTGGGGGCTACCAAGATTAATATCCTGGCTTATGAATGAAAAAAAGTAAATTTGATCCCCAACATTCATTTCAAGATCATCGTGGGTACCCATCATCAGCGTACGTGATCATCAAGTATAAATTATCGCGTATAATATAAAACAAACTCCGACAGAAGTGGACAATTGCAGTGAATACAGAGAATCACTTCATTTTGGGTATCAAAGCAAATTGTTGACATTAACACCCATCAGGAGATCATCATCATCGTCGCCTCCCAAAAGCGTTGCCGCCGAACAAATTGAACAAATTTGCGATCCACTGTACTGCTTCGTTTTGAGGCCTGTAATTCGTATTCTGATGATTATTTGGTCGTGAACTCGACTCATTGTCTGATGCTTCATCAAAGAAAGCCCCGGCGACGTCGGGGATCTTATTGGTGCTGGTTTCCACGGCTTTCGGCTTGTCTGGCACAACATTTGATGCTGCTGGTGTTTCTGTCGAACCCGAATTCATGATCGACATTATCCAGGGCACGTATTCCGAAACCCTGGTGTAAACCCCGGGCATGTCCGGACGGGCACAGCCGATCCCAGCTGACACGACCCCTTCGATCGTCATGAAACCCTCCTCTTCTTTGAACAACGGCCCGCCGCTGTCACCCTGAATAAAAAATAATCAACTAAATCGTTATTTTCTAGAATTCTTTAGCCTTAAAAGGGCAAAGCACGCATTTTCATTCCAAAAATACGCCGGAAATTCTGAGGCATGTGCATTTGCATTAGGCCAGGTAGACTCTTTTCTGCAAGAATAAAATATACCATAAGACATCATTTCTATAGGCTGCTGTCACAGACATCAATTATTCATTGTTTATTTCGGATTTTTTTTTATTTGATGGTGTCCAAAAAGATTGCAGCTTTTCCAGTGACTTTTTCAAGAAAGTCTGGTAAAAGAGTGATTTTGGTTGTTCAATGAATTTTTCTGAATATTTTTTTCATCTAACAATGAGGCAGTACGCTGATAATTTGGGTTCAATTGCATTTTAATAATGAGGAAGACCTATACCGTGTTCATTATACCTGCGCCGCTCTCGAATAAAATTTCCGGAAAATGTTTGCAAAAGCAGAAAATTTCTAATGGAATTTCATTGATCTGGAACCATTTGCCAGACTCGAAATTCGGCAGCCCCTCACTTGGAGGAATATAAAACGCAGCGGTCAGAAAATAATACAATATAGGATCTGCTGGGGAACAATGACTGTTCCCCAACTGTTCACGCATTTATGGTTAATTTTGAAAATGATTTTGTTTTTCTCATATGTCAGAATACTGTATCACGGTAGTTTCGTAACACTTTAAAGAGTAACTCTCGAATCATTTGCATTCCTCGATGCCCTTTTTCGATGAGCATGATCGATGAATGGGTTCGCAAGGCGAAAATCCATCTACCGACTGTAAAATTTGAAAGCGACAATTTTAAATCGCAGTAATTATGTCACGAGCCGTATTTCTTGATTTGAAGTACTGTACTACAAGTACTACTTAGCGTGGGAATTGAACGGCACTTTTTAAGGTGTGCCTATTTCACCAATATAATGCGCAGTTTTTCTCCTGAACATAGAATGACTTGGTCCTCTTCGTAGAAATTTCATGACTTTCAAAATTAAGCGTGATTCACTCCAATTTACCAAAAAACCACATTTCATAGAAGCTCTTGAATAGTTCACGTAATAAGCTAGGAAAAAGAGCGGGGGAATTCGAAAAAAATTGCAAACCTTGGACACGCGTCTTTCGTTTTTTGCTGTTGAATTTTCTAATAACAGAGACTTGCGATCAGCATACCTTTTTTGTTCAAGTAGCGTAGTAAAGTACGATGCCATAAGCTTCCGAGCTTTCAAGGACATTTAAATACAGTATTCGCAAAAAGGTAAAAAACGGGCATTTTCGGGTTCCGACGGCAAAACCAAACGTGTCTCGGGCGTTCATAGATGTTCAAAAATGCACAAATTTACCTCCATTGTTTTTAAGAGTTTAGCCAGCATTCTCGAGGAAACGTTCATAAAAAGGCTTCGTCTAAAGAATTGGGTAAGACAATACTTACTTGACAAGAGTCTTTTCCTCCTCGGGTGAGACCAGCACAAACGTGCGTCTCGGCGATGAAGAATTGAGGAAACAACTTGGATTTGCAACTTCCGTAATCGATGATTGGCACCGAGACCTTCTGCAGAATCGGCGACATGGTACCGCCTGCCAAAAATACCATTAATCTAATGTCCTGTACATATATTACCGGTTAAGAATCTGATACAATGAGTGACTATATACATGATCAGCACCTTCTACTGTGGCTCCCCATCCCGCAACAGTCAAATTTTGACCCAGGAGATGGTCCACTCCACCCATGGCGGAATTCGGGCAACACGGCAAACACACGGGTTGTGCGAATGAGTCAAAATCCACGGCTTTGTCAAGAGTGATGATTGCCAAATCGTGAATCAAGGTTGATGGATTCCAACCAGGATGCATGTCGAACGAGGAGACTGGAAAAGCCGCGGCTGGTGGTTGTTCAGTCCGAAAAATGTCGTATTCCCTGACCTTCACTTGGAGGTTTGTTCGTAATCTAAAATCAAGAAGCCATGTAAATCAGACAAGTGTTTTCTTGAATTTTTTTTGATAATTTACTCGGAATTTTGGGAATGCTAAACATCATGTGGTAATTCAAATCCCCACTAAAAAAAAACATAACCTTTTTTCTCCTATTATGATCGTCCATACGCAGAATTTTAACATAAAACCGTGCGGTTCTCTAATCCGCATTCAAACTGATAATAGATTAAATATAGGAACGTTTTATATCCCATCATGACAGACGTCTCACAAAAATGCTGAATATATTGCATTGCAACTGGGTCCGTAACTTTAATCTGACCGAGAAGTATGCTTAATCTAATTCTAAACCAAGCTTAGACAAACATACAACTAAAAATGCAAAAAACATGGTGTATAAGAGCTTCTCAACTTGATTTCTTGGAGTGAAATAGTGGCCGAAATATTCTTTTGAATACTGATATTAACTTTAAATTACGTGAAAAAAGTAATGTAGATCTTCCGTTTAAATTCGTCCTTTTAATATAATATAAAATACAGCATTCGGAAAAGATCGTTGGTCGAAACTTGACACGTTTTGTACACTACGAAAACGTTTATATATTATATTTTGATTTTTTAATGCACGCATGCGACCACTATGTCGGGGGACTCGGGGCTGAAATTCAAATATCAAGAGGTGACATCTTGTGACGGGAATGAAAACACAGGCTTCCTTGATAACACCGCCTATTCCTGGAAACGAGAAGCATACTTAGTGCTGCTCAAAGTATCAAAGATTCATCGCAAGGCTCGGAAACAAAACTTAACCAAAATTATATCGGTTGATTCAATTTAATTACATTCAATCGTTCAATGAATGATTACATTGCGCCGTAATACAATAATCCGCTCTTTATTNGTTTTTTTTTTTTTTTTTTTACAATGTGCTCGAAATTTTGGGAATGCTCTGCATCATGTGGTGATTCGAATCCCCACTCAAAAATGAAAAACTTTTTCCTCCTTTTATGATCAGAATTTAAGCATAAAATCGTGCGGTTTTATAATCCGCATTCAAATTGATAATAGATTAAATACAGGAACGTTTTATATCCCATCATGACAGACGTCTCAGAAAAATGCTGAATATATTGCATTGCAACTGGGTCCGTAACTTTAATCTGACCGAGAAGTATGCTTAATCTAATTCTAAACCAAGCTTAGACAAAAATATAGCTAATAATGCAGAAAACATGATTTACAAGAGCTTCTCGACTTGATTTCTTCGAGTAAAATAGTGGCCGAAATATTCTTTCGAATACTAATAATAACTTTAAATTACGTGAAAAAGGTACTGTAGATCTTCCGTTTAAATTCGTCCTTTTAATATAATATAAAATACAGCATTCGGAAAAGATCGTTGGTCGAAACTTGACACGTTTTGTACACTACGATAACGTTTATATATTATATTTTGATTTTTTAATGCACGCATGCGACCACTATGTCGGGGGACTCGGGGCTGAAAGTCAAATATCAAGAGGTGACATCTTGTGACGGGAATGAAAACACAGGCTTCCTTGATAACACCGCCTATTCCTGGAAACGAGAAGCATACTTAGTGCTGCTCAAAGTATCAAAGATTCATCGCAAGGCTCGGAAACAAAACTTAACCAAAATTATATCGGTTGATTCAATTTAATTACATTCAATCGTTCAATGAATGATTACATTGCGCCGTAATACAATAATCCGCTCTTTATTCAGCCAATTAAAAAAATAAAGAAAAAAAGAAGAGCGAAATTCCGTTCCAGATTTCCAGACTGACTATCTTCTTTTTTTTGTGTGGACATTCAGCTATATTACATTCCGAATAATGCGCCCACCGTTTTCGAGAAGGATTTCTACAAATATTGTATATCACGTTCGAAACGCAATGCTGATATAAGCATCCGAATATTGGCAATTTATTTTGCTTCATCTCTGCATTTTATTTTGGTTTTGAAGGATTTAATTTGATGATAGTTGGAAAAAATCAATTCGAATTCACTCGATCTAATGGGACAATATCACACACCTCGACCGAGAGAATATTTTTCTTCCGATAGCTCGATGCTTCGATCATTAAGGCTAATTTCTTAATACGTATGAATCTGCAATGTAAAGAGAATTAAACCCCATTTTCCGGAGCTATCCTAGTTGGGGGGACCCAGACTACTAGCTCCATCTACAATAAACAGTGCGTACTCCCTTTCACGCGCACCTAGCCCTTGTACACTCCAATTCTCCAACAGCTCTGCTGTGCTGCCGGTGAGGTACGCTATTGTCAGCCTTACCACTGGTCCAATTTTATTCTCTATGCAGGTACAAATCAAACTGCGCATTTGAATTAAGATGTGAATTGACACTGGCACTGTTATTTCTGATTCTGCTGAGACTGAATTTGGGAGGCAGTTAGGTAAAGTTAGGTTAGGTCAGGTTATGTAAGCAAAAAATATTTCAGCCATAAAACTAACATAACCTGACCTAACCTAACTTTACCTAACCACCCCCCAAATTCAGTCTCAGCAGAACCAATGAAACAGTGCAAGTGTCAATTCACATTGAAATTCACTTAGAGTCAGTAATGAATTTGAAATTGAGAATAAAATGGACTGATGGTAAGGCTGATGATAGCGTACCACAGGATGAACAGAACAGGGTTGTTGAACGATTGGAGTATGTCCACCAAGAACGTTCAGTGTGCCATTCTTAGCGACATCTATATAGACGTAGTTTTGCACTTGGGTCCCCCCCAACTAGGATAGCTCCCCATTTTCTTCTAGCTAATATTACCATATTATCAGTTCTCTGTCGAAAAAGAAAGAAATAGAAGTCTGTTTCCTCGGTGCTAAAATAATAAACAAACCTTTTTGGATAACCCCCCACCCCCGAATACATTCTCTTGTAGAATAAATGTTGTACTGAATTGTTGAATTAATAGAAATTCATTGCTGTCAAGAAAAAAATCACAAGACCCGGAATTCGAGCCTGGCAACCACAAAAACTTCGACCCAGCCCCTCCTTATACATATAACGTACACACTGTACAGGCTTCGTATCACCTTCTAGTGCTGAATTGAAACCCGGTTTATAGCACAACACTTCCATCAGCAGCATTTCTTCAACCCTCCAAACCAAATACAGTAATGTCAAAGCAGCAAAAAATGAACCTGTGTAAATCACGTAATGGAACAAGTTTCCACTAACTTTTGCAGACAATGGGCAGCAGTGAGAACGTGTCTGGTGCCAATGAGTGACCCGCCGCAAAAATGCGCTTCTTTGGCCCCATGGGTAATGGAAACGATGAAGGGGAACTCGCCGGGTTCTGCATCCCGACCTCCAACAATGGCTGCTGTTCCGACACCGTCACGAGTTGCAGTGAAAAATCGCCTTCCACACGTCAACTTGGTGCTGCCAATCACCGTCAAACCTTTGCAAAAACAGTTCAACCCCTAGATTATGCCTCTTCATCGATTAAATTTCAAATCTGCCATGTCAAACAAATACTGTACATGGGGGTGTATGATCTCAATTCAAGCCTCGTAATTTCTATCAGACCATTATTTGAATAATGACTCCTTGAGAAAATCCCGTACGTTCGAAAATTTTGCGGGGTTCGAAAATCCCGCAACGTGAATTTTTGAATCGGAAAAAATGATAGAGCTGGAAATTTCGGAAATTCAAATGCTTCAAAAAATAATGTTTACGAAGAACCAAATTTCCGTACGAATACAATTTTCATCCCAAAGAAATTTGGACTTTTTTCTCGTCTTTAGGCCTTGATGCAAAATGCATAAAGCTTCTAATGATATACTGTATATTGATATATTGTGCCTAATAACCTACGGTTGTCCAAGCAAGCAAATCATAAATTCCGGATTTGAACTCTAGAAGGAGAAACTGTTCTTTCTACACATCATCACATGCTTTCAATGTGGATTTTAAAATTTGGCAGTAAAAGTCACAATTTCGTAATTTCAGGGATTTTCGTCCCGCAGAATTTCCTCCTGTATCCGTCTTGAATTTTCTTTCATACAGACTTTAAATAATAGTTCCCTTGCGCAAAAAGGTTTTTTTTTAAGCATAGAATATTGCGTAATTTATTTTATTATCAAATCAATGCATGGAAAAAATTACCTCGCGTTTCCGGATAACCATTTTCATTGCACGCAGCACTGTTGATCAAATTCACCACAAAAATGCACGCTAAATTTGTGGCAAAAAGTCCCAGTTGCCGCATGTTGCCACCACCTTGACTGAGTGAGAATAAAAGTGCTGAGGTTTTCCCAATCCCGGGCTGGGATTTGTCCTCAACTGAGCCCTTCAAGGACAAGATCCCAGCCCAGACAAGAAGCGAGAACAATAAGTGTTTTTTTCTTCTTCGTTTTTGGCAAGGCCTCGATTCAGATTATAGGACAGGGTCGCTTCCAGCTAAGTTAGCCAAAGTCCAGGTGACTATCCTTTGGCCCATCACGAAGAAGACCCCTTCGAATCCAAGCAGTACCCTGAAAACGGCGAATTCATAGCGAGAAAACGGCGCCAGCGACTTACACTGGAGAATACAGACCAGTGTTGCCAGACCCAAATTAGGCAAAGGGCCGCAAGAATACAGGTGGAATCTCTTTGCAGCAATCTTGACCACATCGTTTTTCTTCCCGATTCTATAAGGTTCTTTGCAACGAAGTTCTCTCCACAAGTAATTTTTTTCTGTTCAGTTGAGCAAGTGTGTAACCTGCACAATGTTTGCGGTTGAGGGTTACATTGATGAGGTGGAGAATCCTTGCGGGCAACGATGTAGAATTTTTCAGGTTTCAAATGTTCTCCTTTTGTAGGAAACTTTTCAAATTTAATTCAGTGCTATCCATATTGAATCACAAGCACAGCCATACATACCAAATTTTTGAATGGTAGTGGAGCAACATTTTGAATTTTTCAATTCATCTTCAAATATATGCAGGTATATTTTGAATAGTGGTGGCTGGAACTTTGAAAATCACAGGGAAGGGGCCGCAGGATGGATGAAGAGTCTCTGCGGGCCAAATATGGCCCGCGGGCCGTATGTTGGGCAGAACTGTTATAGACCAGCAGTTTTTAATTTTCGTGTCACGCAAGCTTCCCCCAGAGTTACCACATTTATAAAAATGGAACTGTTTTGTTGACTGCTATTTATCCTCAAACTTATTTGGCGATGAGGGTTGAAGGATCGCTGTTGGAAGTGTGGGGAGATGTCAGGTTTGAATTCACTTTTAGAGGTTAATCTGAAAGAAAATACACGGTGATTTACTTTTTGTGTGCTGCCATGGCATATTTTCTCTGAGTTGTCCTTCATGATTGTAACCTGCCCCCATGATGTGCAACAATTGCATTTATTGCTCATTTCTCTGCCCATGTTCACATCGTCCAGGAAGCTCTGACCACTGAGTACTGTATAACCATTCAATGTCCAAGTCATTATTGTCAATTTGGGCATCATAGGATTCTTAACTATGAGCATCTGAGTGCTGCAGGTGGAGACTCTCTACAAAAAAAAATTCAAGGGGCCAACAACAATAATTGTAGAGATAATTTTGTTTTTGAGAATCCCTAAAACGTGTGGAGAGAACCCTGTGTGACTTCATCATACAGATAACACTATTTTAGACAGGATTTTTGCAGGACTGATCCCGTTGTCCCTGCTGATTTGACACAAATACAGTACTGTATTTGAAGATTAGTTCATGGATATTGGAGAATAACAAAATGTCAGTCTTGAAAAATATTCAACAGCTCATTGTAAATTCATTCTTGTGGATATCGAAAAAAATGCTTGTGTTGACTGCTTGATGACAACTTGAGAAGACATGAAATAGAACTTGTTTTTATGACAATATTATAATCAGTTTTTTTTTTCTAAAAAAATAAGAGTTGAGTTCATGATAGTTGAAAGTTTGGAATTTATTTCCCAAAAAAAAAAGAAAGCAGTGTTTCCTGGAAACAATTGCCTTCTGCCCTCAGCATGACAAGGACTGCATTGGGCTGTTATTGGCACATTCCCATAAAGAATTTTGCGAATGCGTAACTATCAAGGTGCAAAAGGTGCTTTCACACAACAAGCAAGGTGAGATCAGGGATTTTTGTAGCTCCAATTTCATATTTTGATGTTGTTCCTCTCTTCACTCTGTTGAAAGTCCACGTGAACGAGACACATCAGTCATCTTCCTGCTCAGAATCCATGCTGCCAGCAACTTCTTCATAATCTAGCTCCAGGGCTTCCATATCTTCCCTGGCTTCAGCAAACTCCCCTGAAAGCAGGTCAGACAGCCAACAGTACATGTGTTCATGAAAAATCCTTTAAATTTATAAATCAGAGTTTCTTGACAAATATTAAAGATTATTTACAGTGGGAGATCCAGATGTAAAAATAACTTTTTCTCAGACTGAGATTGCTGGCTACACATGTGAGAATGTTCAAATGTTGGTTCTAATTTTCCCATAATAGACGTGTTTGATGAGCTTTTCAAACACTTCTTATGATTCATAAAAAATTAGAAAAAACATTCCTGAAACTTTTGAGAAGTATTTTTCCTTGAAAAAATGTCAAGAATAAAAACCACACAGAAATGGCATTTTCAGCATGAAAAAGAGTCCAAAAGGCAAAATCAATTGCGCACATTGCTAAACTGTACTGTACACATTTAGCAGAGAGAAAATCACAAAATTGTACATTTTAGAGAAAATTTTGAGTAAATTCATAATTGGATTTATTTTTGAATACTGTATTTACTTGAGTACCACGCGCACCTTTTTTCCCAAATTTCAGAAGAAAAAAGGGGTGTGCATCATAAGCGGGTATAAAATTTCCAAGAAGTTTTAGGAAGTTATGTGCACATTAATTTTAATTATAATGGAGAAATTTGGAGCAAATATAAGAAGAAAACATTTTTTTACTGAAAAAGGTGAAAATTGAACAGATTTTTGTTCAATTCTCGCCTAAAGTCAAATTTTTTGTTTTGATTTTTGAAAATTTACGGCATAGATTCACTAAAAATTGGGGTACGCATCTTACTTGGGGATAAGATTTTTGCAAAATTTCAACTGAAAAACCCCTGTGTATGCCTTACTTGAGGGCGCGTGGTACTTGAGCAAATATGGTATATGTCCATGGTATTTGCTGAAATTGTTCAAGAGATGCTGTACCAGAATCTCAACAGTTTTAATATACTGTGTCTAGAAACGCTGGCTAAGTTTTAATTTCTTTTCTTGATCTTGAAACAGATTTTCTGAGTTTAAAGAGTCCATATAGGTTGGATTGTCTGTGTGTTAATGTGTTTCCATTTAAGAAAGGTTCCATTGCAATTAAAATATTAGATCTCACCTTCTTCCATGCCTTCTCCCACATACCAGTGCACAAAAGCACGTTTCGCATACATGAGATCAAATTTGCGATCCAAGCGTCTCCAGGCTTCTTTGATGGCTGTGGTGTTGGTGAGACAACAGACAGCTCTGCGAACTTTTGCCAAGTCTCCATTGGGCACCACGGTGGGGGGTTGGTAGTTTATCCCCACCTGATTTTAACGTAAATAAATGAGTACAGTAATTAAAATGAATTGATATTCGCATATAAGATCAAGTTCACCTTGAAGCCAGTGGGGCACCACTCCACAAATTGTATGGTTTTCTTTTGCTTCACTGCTAAGATGGCTGAGTTCACATCCTTTGGGATGACATCTCCCCTGTACAGCAAGCAACACGACATGTATTTCCCTTTTTGTAGGTCACATTTTACCATCTGATTTTCTGACAGAAAGCACATGTGAGTGATCTGCTGCACAGTGAGTGCCTCAGAATTGGCTGTCTCAGGATTCACCACAGGCACCCACGTTGCCTGTGAAAAAAGTATGTTGTTTGAAAGGATGTACAGCCATCTTTCTTTCTTGATAGATATATACAGTAGATTGATTCTTATATAAAAGATATGGCTCTTAAAAGAAAATACATCACAGTTCATACAAATTAATGAATACTGAGTAGCCATACCTTTTTTATGACAAAAACTACTGCACATAGGAAGTACTTATCGCAAATTGAAGCACAAGGTATTTAGACTGCAAATAATTTTAAATTGATTAAAAAACTTTGGGATAATCTTTGAGAATAAATCATACAGGTGGTACCCGGCAATTTGATTTACGTGACCCTAATCAATTGTTGGACTACATAGGCTTGAATTGCAAAACCGTCAACTTGCAATGAGGCACTGTGTAAAATTGAGTAAGAGCAGCACAAAAACACTAGAAAAATGGCTGAAACAGGTCCAATTGCGGGACAGAGGTTGAATTGTGCATCAAACTCCCAGCAATTTTGACCTTTGAATTGCGTGAGCTTGAATTGCAAGGTACCATATAGGTATAAAGCTTAAAAAAAATATGCTTGTCCTCTAAGATTTGCAAAATCGTTTTTAACATGTTTTCAGAATTCTAAGTAAAATCTCAACTCTGATGCTAGGCATGAGAAAAAAGTGGTTCTGGGGATGCTATCACAACAAGTCACTGATAACTGTACAGTAAAGTGCATTCATTGGCATGTATGAATCTTGTATAGCTTTCAATGAACTGTGTGATTTCATCCATTTCCATGATTTTATGTGGATTAAATATAAAAATCTCTAGCATAAAATGCATGCTCATATTCCTCACCATTGGAAAATGTATCCTGGGATAAGGCACAAGATTGGTCTGGAACTCAGTGAGATCCACATTCAGGGCACCATCAAATCTCAGGGATGCAGTCACACTGGACACCAACTGCCCAATGAGCCTGTTCAAGTTGGTGTAATGAGGGCGCTCAATCTTCAGTCTGTCCTTGCACAAATCGTATATGGCCTCGTTATCAACCATGAAGTCCACATTAGCATGGTCCAGAGACGTGTGAGTATGGAGGATTGCGTTGTAAGGCTCAACCACTGCTGTTGATACCTATATTCATGAATACGACAAAACAACCATATGAAGCAAAAAAAAAATAAGAATACCTATACAGCACTTCAGAATTGCTTCCAGTGAAATAAAAATTGATGGACTGCACCACAGTATTTATTTTAAAAAAATATTAAATATATGGGGGTAGAAATAGGTGCTATACTTGCACGATACATTTTGAGGGCACCGCATATTTTTCTTAGAGATGCCCCAAAATAGTGTGGGGTTATGCTTCTGCGAAATTCTAAACACGATTAATTCTGGTTTGAAAATGCGATAACATTTTGCGCATTAATGTACAAGATTAATCAGTTGAAGGGAATGATTTCCGTTTGCTGATGGTGCCTCATGTACAGTATTGAAACAAACGAGGAAAAATAAATCAAATGAAAATAGGATCCTAACAAAGCCTGTCCCAAAAAATGCATGCTCACAGTTGGAGCAGGATAGATGGAAAAGCACAGCCGGGTCTTTTTGCCATACTCTGCAGAAATCTTCTCCATCAAGAGCGAAGTGTACCCAGAACCCGTGCCTCCACCGAAAGAATGAAATATGAGGAATCCTTGCAACCCTGAGCACTGCTCCACCAGTTTCTCGATTGCAGGCATCACATAATCATTCGCTTTGGGACCTGCAATTTATTTAGACCTTAATATGCTATATGCACCGTCCTCAGAAACCCAGCATGTTTTAACATTTAATCACGCGAAAAAGACTGACTCACCGACAGTGTAGTGGCCCCTGGCGTAATTATTAGCAGCGTCTTCCTTGAGCGCAATGAGTTGTTCCGGGTGGAACAAGGTCCTGTAGGTCCCATGCCTGACCTCATCTGAAAAGGAAAAAGCCTTTTCTTCTCACACGTTGGGTCAATACTGTGTGTCTAATGAGGACCGCGTAAAGGTCACGGTGCTGACAAAAGCGCTGGATTTTGAGCGCTGTGTGCTCAATACTTCCTGTGTGACAAGAACTAAGCAAAATCCTGGGAAGAGCGTATATATATATATTTTTTTTTTTCATGCAATGACAAATCCAATGAATAGGGTTTCAAATGTTTGGAAGCTATATTTTGATATGTGCACTGATATTTTGCATATACAGTACAAGGTTCTGTATCAGTCCCGCTAAGTCTAAATAATCACCACATGTGGGATCCATAGCATTTATGCCCTACTGTATACAGTAATGACTTCTAAAACCAATTCTTATAGATATTTTTGCTATTGTATCACACATTCATGTAAGTATTGGATCCCATCCTTCATTCAGTTGTATTTTGTGGAATGTATTTTCTTTTATTTTTGTTATCCATTTGCATCTAATTTCTCTGTTTCCCACTCTGAAGTGATTGAATGTCTTTGAATGGATTTGGGTTTGGATGTGTATATGTTGATTGAACCTTGTGAATGCTGAAAAGTGGAAAATAAAGCTTTCTGTTCATTCATTCATCCTTTATATTCAGCATCATCAACAACCAAACTGTTGTTCATTGGAAAATATTGGGTCTCAAATCTTGCTGCAAAGATTTCTCAAATATTGTGAAGTTTTGGCATCATTCATTTTGTCGAGAAATTCGTAAAACATATACTGTATGTTATTTTAACAAGAAAGCCTCATTGGTTTATAGGAAATATTCAAATAAACTACTTAGAGGTTAGGTATATAGATGTTTGGACGATTCAAGAGAAAAGCATTTTTTAAGACCTCGTTCAAAAATTTCCTTGATGATGGCTTGAACAGTCTCTGTCTCAAATTGTAAAAAATAATTTGAACCTTTTACATACTGTACTTGTATCCTGAAAGAAAATAGATGAATTGTTATTTCAACTCTTTGCATTCTTTAACCTTGGTGAAAAAACGTGGTCAAGAATTAATCTCAAATCACTCTGTGAAAATAATGTTCATAAAACAAGACTCTAGGAAGAAAAGTAGCCCAAAAAGGTGGCAGACTTTTGAATAAACCTTTCGATCTTGTTTATCTATTGTGGGTCCTGTCTGACAAAAGGCATGCTGTACAAATGATGCATTCTCAGAAAAGCGAAGGAATATTAAGTATGAAACTGGGCATACGTGGGGTCAAACAAAAGTTCTCGGAATACAAATTTAAATGGCGTACAATTGAGCTGAAAATAACTTTGGATGATAATGTATGTGGTGGCTTATAATATATATACAGTGTTCAGCTGCTCATGAAAATTGCTTAATTACCTTGAAATACATGGACCTTGAGGCAACCCTTGGAGTCAATTAATGGCATGTCCATTAAAAAAAAATTCTGAATACGAATTTGGGACAGACCAAAAATGCGGAATGCTACCAAAAGCGGACTTGTGCAGAAATCTTAAAAAAAGTCTCGAACACAGCTGCATTTTTTTTCTTGGGCAGATTTTTTTTTTTACAAACAAAATTCTTTTTCAGCTCAATCAAATATGCTGTTTCAATTTCTATTACGAGAAATTTTCTTTTGTCTAGGCCCCTCGTATAAATGAAATAGGAATTTTCACCGATCACGGTTGGTTCCAAGTCAATGAAAATGGCTCTCGGGACGTGTTTCCCGGCCCCAGTTTCCATGAAGAAGGTATTGAAAGCGTCATCTGCAGATTCCTGGCCAAGTGATGTGTCTGATGGCATGATCCCGTCAGGCTGGATCCCATGCTCCAGGCAGTACAGCTCCCAACACGCATTTCCCATTTGCACACCTGCTTGTCCAATGTGCAGGGAAATGACTTCACGCTGTACGAGTCAATTCAAGAGTATGAATACATATATTTTAAAAGTTCTGTTCTTGAATCCGGTGCAAAAAAAATTTAAAATGCCTTATATATAAAGTAAATTTCTTACCCAGTCCACCTTTCTGTTACAGCCGTATAAAATATTTAAAACTTGAGCCTTAATTCTAGGTATGTAAAACCATCATTCAGAAAATCAAATAAGTCCACAAGCATAATCTCGAAGTACAGTATATCAATTCCATCGAAGTGTATACCACGTATGACATTTTGAACATAAATGGTATTTTTTGAAAAATCAGTACAATTCAGCGTTTGCGTTAAATGCATGAGTGCTCTCTACAAGTTTACACCGTATATTTTCTTTCTGAAGGAATTCGAGAAAAGTTTTTTCTTTGACCGATGCGCTTTATTCAATTAGCATATTCGGCAGCAGTTTCGCAGCTTTGAATAAATGAATGAATAGGGAAAATGACAGCGATGATGTCATTTTTCCGTTTTCAGCCGGATTAAGCATCTATCTCACGAATGCATACAGTGATGCAGAAAATTAAGTCTATTTTGATGAAATCGCTGTGTTTAAACTTCTAACGTACGCAAAAAAAGTTGGCGGTTTAGTCTCTAAAAGTTTGCTGTGCCATTTTAGGGATGTGTATATTTCTATAGCAGTAGCTATAAAAACACCCTAGAATCGATTTTTCCGTGATAAAAATTCCAATTGCCATAATTTAAACCACGCAGCTTTATGCAGATATATATTTGAATGATTTGACTCACCCCAGCCATTTTCAGATTGAGTCTTCCTCACTTGCGTTTTAAAACAGCAATATATAGCACAAAAATTCCTCGGTAAATACACACAACTATAAAATGCGTCAATTACGCCAAAGCAAATTAAAATCAGGTAAAAGAAAATTTTTCATTCGCCATCATGATGGACACAGAAATTGGATACTTTGCAAAGTGAATCATGCAGATTCCCGAAGACCAGCATTATAATCATAAAATTTCGAAAACATGTCCATATATGATGTGAACAAAAAGGGACCAGCAGCGACGACAGATAAGGCTTTCGGGTTTCAACCTCGGGATACGAACCCCTACTGGAACCCTCCCAAACGAAATTGTGCAGTAAAATTGACTCAGGATTAGGAACATGCGCCCCAGTGCCAACCACCTGTTGCCTGCTGCTATATGCACACCCAACGTATTGAAGAAAAAAAAAAAGCCCTGGTCAAACAAAACGAGCGTTTTGGTGTGTTTGGGTGAGGCAGTAACCGGGTCAATTATCACTCGCTGAAATCAGCAAGTGAATGCAAACACCTTTAATGCGGGTTCTTATTATTCTTCAACTTAGCAAGGCTTGCTGCAACGCACTATTCCGCCTGCTGTAGTTGACCTCAGGTCGTATCAGATTTATCCAGAAGTGTCGTTGGTCGCATACGTTGACATTGAACGTAAACGCGCTTTGAGTTGGACCGAACATTATTGGCTATATACACCTGCGAAGTGAGATGTCCTGAGCAGATATTCGCTAAGGCAGCCTAGAAATTGATTTTAGGATAGATGTCCGGGCTGGTACATGTACAGAACAGTTATTGAAACTCAACAGACAAGAGCAGAAATAAATGAAAAATCATTTTAGGATGATATTGACTCCTCTTCATTTCATTTNTGGGACAGACCAAAAATGCAAAATGCTACCAAAAGCGGACTTGTGCAGAAATCTTGAAAAAAGTCTCAAACACAGCTGCATTTTTTTTCTTGGGCAATTTTTTTTTTTTTACAAACAAAATTCTTTTTCAGCTCAATCAAATATGCTGTTTCAATTTCTATTACGAGAAATTTTCTTTTGCCTAGGCCCCTCGTATAAATGAAATAGGAATTTTCACCGATCACGGTTGGTTCCAAGTCAATGAAAATGGCTCTCGGGACGTGTTTCCCGGCCCCAGTTTCCATGAAAAAGGTATTGAAAGCGTCATCTGCAGATTCCTGGCCAAGTGATGTGTCTGATGGCATGATCCCGTCGGGCTGGATCCCATGCTCCAGGCAGTACAGCTCCCAACACGCATTTCCCATTTGCACACCTGCTTGTCCAATGTGCAGGGAAATGACTTCACGCTGTTCGAGTCAATTCAAGAGCATGAATACATATATTTTAATAGTTCTGTTCTTGAATCCGGTGCAAAAAAAATTTAAAATGCCTTATATATAAAGTAAATTTCTTACCCAGTCCACCTTTCTGTTACAGACGCATAAAATAGTTAAAACTTGAGCCTTATACTTCTAGGTATGGAAAACCATCATTCAGAAAATCAAATAAGTCCACAAGCATAATCTCGAAGTACAGTATATCAATTCCATCGAAGTGTACCACGTATGACATTTTGAACATAAATGGTATTTTTTGAAAAATCAGTACAATTCAGCGTTTGCGTTAAATGCATGAGTGCTCTCTACAAGTTTACCTGTATATTTTCTTTCTGGAGGAATTTGAGAAACGTTTTTTCTTTGACCGATGCGCTTTTCAATTAGCATATTCCGCAGCAGTTTCGTAACTTCGAATAAATGAATTAACAGTGAAAAAGACAGCGATGATGTCATTTTTCCGTTTTCAGCCGGATTAAGCATTCATCTCACGCATGCATACAGTGATGCAGAAAATTAAGTCTATTTTTAATGAAATCAATGTGTTTTATACTTCTAACGTACACGAAAAAAGTTGGTGGCTTAGTCTCAAAAAGTTTGCTTTGCCATTTTAGGGATGTGTATATTTCTACAGCAGTAGCTATAAATACACCCTAGAATCGATTTTTCCGTGATAAAAATTCCAATTGCCATCATTTAAACCATACAGCTTCATGCAGATATATTTTTGAATGATTTGACTCACCCCAGCCATTTTCAGATTGAGTCTTCGTTCCTCACTTGCGTTTTAAAACAGCAATATATGGCACAAAAATTCCTCGGTAAATACACACAACTATAAAATGCGTCAATTACGCCAAAGCAAATTAAAATCGGGTAAAAGAAAATTTTTCATTCGCCATCATGATGGACACAGAAATTGGATACTTTGCAAAGTGAATCATGCAGATTCCCGAAGACCAGCATTATAATCATAAAATTTCGAAAACATGTCCATATATGATGTGAACAAAAAGGGACCAGCAGCGACGACAGATAAGGCTTTCGGGTTTCAACCTCGGGATACGAACCCCTACTGGAACCCTCCCAAACGAAATTGTGCAGTAAAATTGACTCAGGATTAGGAACATGCGCCCCAGTGCCAACCACCTGTTGCCTGCTGCTATATGCACACCCAACGTATTGAAGAAAAAAAAAAAGCCCTGGTCAAACAAAACGAGCGTTTTGGTGTGTTTGGGTGAGGCAGTAACCGGGTCAATTATCACTCGCTGAAATCAGCAAGTGAATGCAAACACCTTTAATGCGGGTTCTTATTATTCTTCAACTTAGCAAGGCTTGCTGCAACGCACTATTCCGCCTGCTGTAGTTGACCTCAGGTCGTATCAGATTTATCCAGAAGTGTCGTTGGTCGCATACGTTGACATTGAACGTAAACGCGCTTTGAGTTGGACCGAACATTATTGGCTATATACACCTGCGAAGTGAGATGTCCTGAGCAGATATTCGCTAAGGCAGCCTAGAAATTGATTTTAGGATAGATGTCCGGGCTGGTACATGTACAGAACAGTTATTGAAACTCAACAGACAAGAGCAGAAATAAATGAAAAATCATTTTAGGATGATATTGACTCCTCTTCATTTCATTTTGTTTTCAGTAGCCGGTCAATTTGATGGAACCTGATCGTATATGATATTCAGGATAACAAACAGCAGTATGAAAATTTTGCATTAATACCTATATATATATATATATATATATAGGAATGATGCTGGTAACAATCCCAATAAAAGAGCAGAAATAAAGCGCAGTGGAAATAAATAACACAGGCAAATTCATTCAAATCATCATCAGCAGATGCCTGATGAAAATTTGCATAAAGCGTTGTTTAGAATTTAAATTGTGCAGCCATGATTCTTGCCAATCCTGTCCACTATTCCGTGCATATATTAGTACTGTACCCCGCTTCCCAGTACAGTATTCCAACGTACTCACCCAGCAGCAGCACATCTATACGTGCCATTGCTTCAGAAGTGCGACACCCTACGACAGTTCAAAAAGCTCAAATCTGTGAGAAGTTTTTTAAAAAGCAGATGTCGCTGTCAAACACCGAAACGCTCTCGTAAAAATCACTAAATGCCGCTCTGATCCTCTGAAAAAGATTTTGGCATATTATTTATATGCTTCAGATGATCATACTAACCCCAGCTTGACTCGTAGGAGAGAAAAAAAAAACACGACATGGGAACAGGAACGCGTAAGTTTGCAGTATTTTACGTCTACCCTGAAATATTGTTGACAAATCAACGCCATTACTGTATCACGTACTGAAATCGAAGAAAATTCGACTCATTGTATGATGAGCATTTTGTAAACATTTACTAGAATCAAATTTTGTTTCAAATTTGGCAGTGGATGAGTAGACATTCAAGCAAGATAGTCTGCAGCTCTTCTCCGTGATATGCATCGTGAAATCAATGTGTGTTCGCTGATTTTTTTATTGCTATTACCGAACACATTTTCGAGCGCTTCGAATTTTGACCTCGATTTCGTGCATTTCTTTTTCATGAATTTCGAAGACGACGAAAGAAGACCATCATTCAGAAGATGATCAAGGACCAATAAATATCACGGAGGCACGAATTCAGAAGGTAATGACACTTCTTTAATCTTTTAACTGATGAATATATTTTGTATCCGAATTATTTGTTTCCCTCATGGTGGTATGGGTAAAAATATAAGAATAGATGGAAAAAGTAACCAAAAAAATGTGTTGCTTATTGCATTCACAGTACAGTATAGTAAGTTGATGATATTTCTAGTCTTCGGTTTGTTCATTCTATTTTTGTTTTTAAACTGAAAATCTGCTCCAAGCATGCAAACTACATTATTATGGTACAGTACTCTATTTTCATAGTCCAGAGTACAGTCATACACAGTACAATATAATTTTTATTTTCCAAAGGATTTGAAATGAGTTCCTACAATGTGCTTATAAATAATGCGCAATAGACTCCGTTATTGTGAAGAAAAGGCAGCTTTGCTGTCCCAATTTCACACGCCCTCAAATGAGAATCAAACACTTTTTTTTACATCTCAAGTACTGAGCAGTACTAACTCGAGTATATTCTGTACCTTTCACCCTCAAAGAAGATGCTCGGCTCAGCTTTCTGTTACCAAAATTCCTGCTTGAAAACTGCGTTGGAGAAAAATCTAAATTGAAGCCTACATGAAAATCAAATTCGAGGACGATTTTTCAAAAGGTTATAAAATCTTTCTTGTAACATTTGCTACCCAAAGCACACCTCATTTCATTAGAAAAAAATGTGCGTGTGGTACTTGAGAAAATGCGGCAGCAATCGGAGTTAGTGACAGGCTTCATTTTCTCCGAGTGCAACACTTTTGGGCACCACTGAAGTCGTGTATGTTTGTTCCGCGCAATGACGCACAATACCTATTCTTATTGATTTGTAATTCATCACAGTGGTTATCCAGGGGTAATCCTATGTGTGTTGCAATCTTCAGGCGGAGACTCGCGTACCATCGATCTCAATCACGCAATCAAATTACACAAAAACCCCCGCTGTCTCAGGTTATTGACCACACTTTTTTTTTGCGAAGTCTCTATATACACATCCTATACAGTGTTATTGTGTTGAACTTGTTGCTATACAGTATATATTGATGCAAAAACTACAGTGGCCCCCACCTAACAGACCTGCCGTGTAAGGGATTTTTGCCAAACAGACCAGCTCTGCAAGCAGTTTTGCCTCCCACCCAACAGACAAAATCCACCAAACAGACTTCTTTTGGTTTAAAATTAGTGTTGAAAATTTGAAATTTTCAATTTTTTATGTAATTGAATTCATGCAAAGGACTTTTTGTTTANATTAGTGTTGAAAATTTGAAATTTTCAATTTTTTATGTAATTGAATTCATGCAAAGGACTTTTTGTTTAACAGACTCATCCCTTGCACAAATCAAGTCCGTTAGACGGGGGTTGACTGTATGTAAGAGGTTATGCACGATTCACTCAATTTTTTTGGGTCTCAAAAAATGAGTAAAAAAAAAAAGCAGAGAAGCTGCTGCATCCAGCTGCAACCAGCTGAGAAAACTTTTTGTATCTTGAGCCTTGCAAAAATCTCATTTTTGGAAGACTCACTGAGCCTCACCCAAGGCCAAGAAGAGGTCATCTCTTCCTCAATTTTCCCAAAATTGGCCAATCCTGATTGTTTCCTGACCCAGTCTGAGCACCTGGGTATAAAAGCCTTTATTTCTCTTTGAGAGGAGAAGTGAAAATCTTGTGTTAAAGGGCCTTTTAACTTAAATTATTCATTCTTCTGAGCTAACCATCCAATCTTACAATTTATTCTGCCATTCCAAGCAACCATTTCATTAACAGCCAAATGACAATCTAGGCATTGAGAATGAATTCCTTGGAAAAGAGCTTGAGTTCTTATTTAAAACTTGCATTCTGATGGCAGCACAATTCAATTCCTTTATCTGGGATCCAATGGACCCATGACTGAGTGAGTTCAGATGAATATGGGTGGGTAGGGGATGAGGGGGTTTGGATGTTGAGATTCATTGCTTGAACCTTGTGAATGCTGAAAAGTAGAAAACAATGCTTGCTGATCAATCAATCAATAGAAGAAGAGGACGTCACATTAAGGCACATTTTTTCATGATTTGTGAACTCGACTTATGTTGACGCGGTACATTCCAGAAAATAATGTATATAACGATGCGAGTTGCTGCTCCTATATCCACGTTACAATGATTGCACGAAAAGAGACCACGGCTTATTGAGCAAAAACTCAGGCTTCGCTCACTCATCATCATCGCACTGCGTTCCATTTATTTAATCCATTTCCTCTCGCAATAAGCAATCACTTCTGCCGCCAACAATACGGCCTTCCAAAATATCCCCTAACGGAAAGCAGATGACAAGCACTCGTCGTCCTTGCAGTCATGGACCACAAACTCTTGGTTCAGCCAGACACAACAAGAACAACAACGAGGACCAGTCTAACACTGCGTCACTGATTGCCGCACAAACGCGAACTCGGCCAGCATCAGTTGTAAGGCTACGAATCACTCATTCCTGACCCCCCCCCCCACCCCCCCCCAAAAAAAAAGACCTCGCGCCGGTCAGAGTTCGAAGGCTTTGCAGGTCGCAATCAGGTCAAATCTCATTCTCCATTGCAATTATACAAGCTGATACAGGGACCCAAATTATGGCTTAAAAAATATTGGTTACCGTATATTTTTGGGATGCCTTTATAAACATAATAAATTAATTGCTGAAAACCGGGGATTATTTGATTATTTTCTGTAAAATTAAATAACTCAAGTGGGGCCTCGACATTCGGTAGCCGATGACACGCAGACGAATCGACTTATAAACGCAAAATAAGAAGCCCCCATGCAAGAATGTTTCGAGATACGGACACTGGACCTAAATTTGAACAAAATAAAAAGATAAAAATATCGGCATCTGTTCAAAAAATTCAGCGATTTCTAATTGGACAAAAATGAAAGATTCATCCCTAATTCGTAATTCAAAACAGATTAATTTTGTGCTTATATTTTTCGGGCTTTTTTTTCTTCAAATCAACCATGAAAACAAAATTTCTGCTGGTTATTTATCGTTCGGCGCTTTTTTTTAAATGTCAAAAGGGCTGATGCTGTGTTATTTTCTTCTTCTGTACTGCACAACTATTTTTTCATCTCAAAACTGAGAAATTTTTTTTATTAAAATTGTGAGGATGACTGTTTTCAATATACTGTCAAACGACTGAAACGAAAGAAGTGATAAGAAATACTGTATATCCTTCAAAGTCAAATGTGATCCAA